AGAAGGAGTTTTCAAACGTCTTCAAAGCTTCAACTAGTGACATCAGCACATATGCCCCGCCCCCTGCTCAGCAAATCATCTCTGTTTGTAGTCCCTAAGTAACGCTGGTAAATATGCAACAAACAAAATTTATTGTAATTATTTTCTTTTATACCAATCCCTAATGTTAAATGTTAAATGTGTGGTGTCTGGGTCTTGCTTAATTTCTTCTTTTTTTTTAATTTTGTATGTCTTTATACGTTTACGTTTATTTATAAGAAATCATTGGTGATAGTTTTTTTTGCTTGCTCTCTCGAAACTAATGTAATGCATTTTTATCGATTCAATTCCAAACATTTTCCTAAAAAAAAATCATGCAACAAACTAAAAACCCCCACCCCCCAAAATGCAGGGGGCTATTTAAGATCATAACGGTGCGCGTGTTTCGTTTGGGTTTCCCCATCCCATACACATACACATTTTAAACAAATAAATACATATATACAGAGGGTATTTTCCAGTTAAAGCAACGGTAAACATTTGGTTGGGAATTTTACAAGAACCAAAATTACCCCAGTATTTTTTGTAAATTGCCCAAAAACTAAGTGGCGAATATACAACACTGGCAGCTAAAGTTACAGCTGCCAGAGTTGCCACATCTGTTGCCTTAGCTGCCAAATGTCCTCATACACATATCCACACACACACACACAGACACACACACGCAGCAAAAATGATAGATAAACAAAGAGACTGCATGCTAATTTTGGCACTTTTTTCGCTCTGCTTCTTCTCATCCACAGCGGCACTGTCGCTTAAAGCATTCCGGGGATATTCGGATCGAGACCCTTGAGCGCAGCAACAGCAGCAGCTCTGGCCCTAATGCGGCGCCCATTTATCGTCCCCAGGGCGCCGGCGCCAGCAACGAGTCCCAGGCCCACATCAGCAGCAACAACAACAACAACAACCTTAGCAACTACAACAACAACAAGACCGGCCAGAACAACAATAACAACAACAACAGCCTGAGCAACGCCTTGCTCAGCAGCAAACAGCTGGAGCAACTGCTGCATTCACCGCTCTCCGCCAGCGCTGCGGCCGTGGTGAATTCGGCCAATACGCAGCAGGATCTGCAAGTGGCGGCCGCCTATTGGGCCGCTGCCTGCAAAGTGGTCAGCGCCGCTGCCAGCGGCAGTGCCGAGGAGCTGCTCCAGCTGCAGCAAAACGATCAAATCGAGATCACGCGCCTGCCCTCGGCTGCCGCCGCCGCTGCCAGCAGCAGCTTGCAGGAGCTGCCCAACAGCAACAACAACAACAACAACAACACGAAGAGCAAACAGCAAAAGTGCCCCGTCTGCCCGTACATCTCGGAGAGCAAATCCCAAATGAACTATCACGTCTCGCTGCACAAGCCCACGCAATACGAGTGCCGCCTGTGCACCTTTGTGTGCGCCAAGAAACAGCATCTGAGCAGCCACATGCGCAGCGTGCATCAGCAGCAGCTGGGCGCAGCAGCGGCAGCCGCCGGCGCTGGCCTGGACTTTAGCGTAGCACTGCAATTGGCTGCGGCCAAGCAGGTGCAGCAGCTGCCCACGGCTGCCACAACGCCGCTGGCTATCGACCTAAGCCAGCTGCAGCTGGAGGAGAGCAGCAATGTCGAGCTGCCGGTGCAGCAGCAGCTGCCGCCGGAATACCAATATAAGCTGATTAGCTACTGCCCGCGCTGTCCGGCCCGTTTCGCCCAGAAGCACAACGATGAGCGCAACGCCAAGCTGGAGCTGGAGCAGCATTTGGCCGCCCACGCGCCCAGCGAGCTGGAGTCGGAAGAGGTGCATGTGTGCGCCTACTGTGAGTATCGTGCCGGTGCCGAGACGCTGCTGCAGCTGCATCGTGCCGTGCACATGTCGCACTACCAGGAGAAGTGCCAGCAGCTGTATAGAAATTGCAAAGAGGATGTTGCATATCCGGCGCCCAAGCTGTTGCAAATAACTGGACCCGAAACCATTTGGGTTGTGGACAATGAGCTGGGCGCACAGCTGCTGCGCCAGAACGCAATCAGTTCCTCCAGCAACAGCTACGATGGTCAGAACTCGCTCTTGAAGAAGCAGCTGGAGTCGGGCGGCGTTGGTGCTTTGATTCGCGAACAGACGCCACCCAAGGCCAAGGAGGCCGAGGAGGATGACGAGCGTCACAGCAGCTCAACACCCTCGACCAGCGCCTCGGTGGCCACCAGCGATTTGGCAGCAGATGCCAGCAGCGATGCGGGATCGCTGGACATGCCGCAGTCGGCGCCAACGCCACAGCGCTGCCAGCACTGTCCGTACGAGACGCTGCAGCACGAGCAGCTGGCGGAGCATCTGCAGAAACATGCCTGTATCAATCAGCCCAGCCCGGAGGCGCAGCAGTGTGCCCATTGCGACTACAATGCCGTCGAGGAGGCCGAACTGGAGGAGCACACCGCTGTGCACTTCAATGCCAGCGAGAAGCTTAAGTCTGTGGACTTTTACACTTGCTACGACAAATTAGAGATAAGTGTGGAACAGGAACCGGAGTCCTTCGAGCAGGACGACAAGGAGCAGACGGAGCACAACAATAACCAGGACAATGTCGTCAATGCCAATGTGCAGCAGCAGGACGATGCCGAAACGGAGCAGCTACACCAGGAGCCGGTCAAGAAGCCCAGCACCAAGCTCATACTCTACAAGAACGATGGCGCACTCAGCGTTAAGCCCTCCATGGAGGAGGACACGGCCACGTCAACGACGACAACGCAGCGCGCTGAGAATATCAGCGATCGCTTGAGGCGTCGCAGCTTGCGTGGCGGCGCCTCCGCTGCCACCACGTCTACCACAGCAACACCAACAACAACAACAACATCAGCTGCAGCTGCTACAGCACCGGGCATCATGGAGGCAACTGATAAAATGATACTGGTCAATGCCAAGACGGGCAAAGTCATTTTCCGAAAGTAGGCGTGGCCCAAGTCACAGCTGCACCGCAAACCTTTCTTTCACTATTGTATTTTACATAGGAGCATATAATTAACTTTATTATTATTATTATCATTATTATTATTATTATTATTATTATTATTTTTGGGGTTGTTAATGTTTTGTTGTTTTCAATTGGGTATCTAGTTAGTCGAGTTTTGTTTTAAGCACCAATTATTATTTAATTGTTACTAACAAAAAAACACACACACACACACACACAGTTGACACCGTTGGAACATGTTCCTGCACCTTGAATCATATTTATAAGTTGTTTATTAACAAAATTTATTTGCTTATATAAAAAAAAAGCATATTACCAATGCTTAAATATGTCAGCTATTATATTTTGTTATGTCTAAAGCCTTAGCGCGGTGCAAAATATAAATATAACTAGAAAACGAATCAAAACTTAAATATTTAAATCGTACGATCAAAAGCATAAACAAAAGTGTTTCAAAGAAATCAAAACTTGTGCATGACAAAATCAAAAAACAACAAAAACAAACAAATTCAAAATTAATCTTGCTGCAAACAATTTGTTTTTGAATGGGAACTGTGATTATTGAATATTGTAAATTAAAAACAAAAAAACAAAAAAATCTCTAAATTTAATTTAAAAACAAAAATTAACAAATAAACGCGTATATCATTCAATGAATATGGTACTTTATACATAGTATATACATATTTACATCAGCTGCTATGAAACACACAAAATTTCTAAATGAGAAATCAAATATGAGAATCTATGAAAATACTGTGTAATAATTTGCAATATTTGCAATATGATTTTGTACAACTGCAGCACAGCATTAAATAAGTACTATATAAGTAATTAATTTCTATTTAATGTTTAAAGTTTAAAATGGTTTTGTTTAACTATACATCATTATTGTTTATTGTAGCACAGTGTATATTGTGCAAACACTATATAAACAAAAGGAAACAAAAACAAAAAAACAAAAAAGTCGAAAAAACGTTATCATAAAGTCTAAGGAAACGAAATGAACACATGTGGAATAGCGGGGCCATATTTAAATAGTTTAAAGCAAACATTTAAACAAACAAAAAAACAAAAACAAAAAACAAAAACAGTAACAGAAGAGTATACAGAAACTTACTTGAATATAAACGCAACCGCCTTTGATATACATATACATAAATGTATCTATATCTATATATTTAAATAGTATTTAATTATAAAATACGTCTAATTAGTCTAGTGTAAATAACTTAGTTTTGTTTACTATGCACATACATATACATATAAAGCCACACACATACACAGCCAACACAAATACACACATTTACGGCATAAATTTAAACAAAGAAAATGTACAAAAGAATTGTTAATAAAAAAAAAATCAAAAATAATAAAAATACACAAGTTGCATTTACAAATTTTACAGCTTATCCCTTGACTTATTTCAAAACTGCAAAAGTTTCCAACAAATTGTTCAAAAAGTAGCCCAAATTGCATTTGACGAAATAAATAAATATATATATATACATATAATGAAACCTTTAAAGATTAGACTAGACACGAAATGGGTGGGTCTTTTTATTTTGTTTTCAATAAGAACTACTGTAATAAAATGTGATCAAAATGGTCAAAACTTTTGCCTAGAAACCGCTGGCGTAATATTAGTAACTAATTTTAAATGATTTCACGCATTAGAGCTTAGCACATTTTTACTTAAATAGCATTATTAAATGATTGCAAATAATTCAATAATAGCGTATTTCTTTTGTACTGGTCGAATGATAATTAATTGCATTTATGTGCATTCTTTTTGAATATGTTGGCAAATTTCCAACACTAGAAATTCAGTTGGTACTTTTGTAATAATACAGGGAATTTCTGTAAATCCCTGGAAAAGAAATGGGCAGCACTGGCTGCTTGGCATTAACTGTTTTGAAGGTAAAGGGTATATTGGATATACAGCAGGCCTTCAGATAATCTCGGTTGGCCATGCAACGAGATCTAAAATTTCTATCACACCTTGAATCCACAACTAAGTTAAATATTCATTCCGTTTTTGTTCTTCGTAGTGTGCACAACATCAAACTTTGCTGCCAAAATTCGTAATCTTTTTTGGATGTCGTTCAATTCTAGTTTTAAATATCAAGTAAAGCGAATATCAGGTATCAACAAAATGAAAGTGTAATAATCAATTTCTTTCGAATAGAACTAGTTTAGACACGAGTCTGGCGCAAGTGCAGCACTCGGGGTACAAAGTCGGAAACAGATTTAACATTCTCGAAATCTATTTCTGTGGCCAACCCTCGCCTCTTTCCGTAAGCGCCCAACATGTGCTGGCATCCAGGTGGCTGTTGCGGCATACCCGCAGGTATCCAGTGCACAAACTTTTGTTTCAACTACTGGACAGGCTGCGCAACCACTCCCTGCTGCCGGATCAGCTGCTCGCCTTGCTGCCCGCCGTATCGCGGCTGCTGTGGCGGTCCACGCTGCGGGTCATGCTAGGCTAGCAACTAGCTTAGAAGGAAATGAGGCTGACGCGTCACGGGATAACACCAACAGTCCAAATTCTCCCCATTTGTATGTAATTAATAGAGTCGAATAAAAGCTGCAAGTTTATGTTTATAAAAAATGGTGGTTTCTTTAAAAATGGGATTCAATAAACACAGAACAAATTGAAATGAATCTTAGTGAAGCCAGTATAAAAATACGCCAGATAACGATAGGGCGCCCAAACTGGCACATTAAAAACCTCATCGATCTTCCGAGTTCGTAAATGGGCTTTGTTTGTCGATGGGGCCGAAAAAGACTGGGATACAATTAATGGGCGTTGCTGATAAGAAACCCAAGGTGCACTTGTATATCACACAATTCCAAACAGAATTTGTTTTTTCATAGCATGATCATTCATAGAAAATCATTTGCCGTTATATTCTCCAGATATATTTATTCTGTACAAATTAAAATTCGTCTTGGCCGTTATTTCTTTTTCGGACTACCTTAATATAACAACGCATACAAGTAGGCGGTAAATTTAGGTTTAAATCCATTTTCTGCACTGCATAAATGTATATCGACTGTTTTTAAAATAACTTCCAAATAATTTTTAGGAACAGGTTGGCAGCGCCATCTGTTTTCTAATAGAATTAATCGATATGTTTATCGGAATGGCAATGCCAGATTTGCTCCTCAACTGATTTGTTTGCAGTAAAAATTTGTTAGGACGCGTTACACCTGCCGCACATGGATACGAAGTCCAATGATGACTCTGGTGGCAGCGACTCTCTGGACAAATCAATGCAGAGGAAGTGTGTAATGGTTGAGACAACCGGCGCAACGTCGGAGCCCGCCGCGGAGACGGATGACTGCAGCAGGGAATCCGCTGCACTGCGAGAGTCGCCACCAGGTGAACCAAAGACTGATGCGTCCGGCGCTGGGTCAAGCATTGGTGAAAGTTCAACGGCGCATAAAGGCATTAACACAACAGCAGCAAGTGCTGCGTTCGAGTCGAAAGTTAAACTCATTTCCCAAAACCTCAAAGAGACAACGCTCGCTGAGACGGAAACGGAGGCGTCAACGTCAAACTCATCGACCGACATCGCTGACGGTGTGGCAGATGATGTTGTCGAAACGTTGCAGCAACATAGAACAGATAGCTGCGACCATCGTGTGAAAAAGGTACGATTCCATCCAGACGTCAAAGAAAATGATGGCGGCAATCGTGTGAAAAAGAAAAGGCGCTCAGCGCGAACGAATACCGCCAATAAGATAAATATGAGCTGTGATGGCATGGATATGGACGATGAGGATGAATGCGACGATGAGGACGCTGAGCCAGAGGAGGAGGAGGAGGAGGAATTCAATTTGGCGAAGACCATTGCCGAAGCGGAGGACTACTTAAAGCAGCATCCGCTGACATTTGTAAGGCGTGTCGAACAAAATGGCGAGCGGTTACGTGATGGCCTGCTAAACATCGAGGATATGCCGCAGCTGGTGGAACGCGAGGTGAAAGCAGAGAAGAACAACGAAGACGATTTCTATAAAAAATGTAAGCCAGAGAACGGCATAGAGCGGGTATTGGGCAAGGAGACAAAGGCGGGCAAGGCAAGTATATCCATTCATTTAAGGACATCTGCATTTGCTAACTAACTCAAATCATTTATAGGTGGAATTTCTGTTACGATACGAGAACCAAGGCGGCCTCTTTTGGGAGTCGGAGGACTACATCAGACGCATGTGTCCAACGCTCTTGAAAGCTTATGAGAAGAATCGCGAACGGAGGCAGCAACGTCTAGTGAGTAGTTGGGCTTTGTTTTTGTCGAATTGGTAAACTAAATTAGTATCACATTTTAGATGCATCACGTTGCCAAACGCCAGAGCCTGCGCCAGCGATACACGGATTTCTAGTAACATAAATATATATAGCTATTAGGATTTTAATTAGGTTCCGCAAGTAATTGTAACATTTTTGTAATATGGAGTAAATGATTTTCTTTTGTTGAACGAAACTGCCAAGTATCTCGCCATCGTGAATATGGATATATCGATATCGAAGATGCGCAAGCTATCGATTTAATTTGTAGCCAATTTCATGGAAGCTCATTATTTTGGTAGATAAATCGAATAACAAATTTGCTGTTTATTTTCTGGTTTTGTGTTATTGATTTGTGTGGAAATTAGCCCACTGCTCGGACGTTTGCCATTCAGCTGTTTACGTATACGTCTATTCTTATCGATAGTTGCTGTCGCTCATCGATATATCTATCTGTCGATATAACATCAACAATCCTAGTTCTAGTTTGACGGACGCAGTGTCTAAAAATTAAAAGTAGAATTAAAAAAGCTGTGCAAACGTGTGCAAAATCTCGGCACACGCGCATCTTATAACGTGATTGTGATTGTGAGCCATAAATAGTTGAAATTCTGTAGAAACCTGTAAATATTGGCTTTGCGAGGCCACATAGGTGTTCTGCCAGAACAAAAGAGAAATTTTTGTGCGTGTCACCGTCCGTCATCCTCCACCCTCCTAAACGCCTGCGTTGCGATCAGCAACGACACAAAACGGTAAACGTTGCTAGAGGCCCAACGAAATGCAATAGACTTTGCCCGCATTTCACAATTTTCATGAATTTCTCATTGTGACGGCAGGTGAAAGTGCCATTTCAGGTAAGCATAAAGTTATTGGGCATTTTCAATCTATTCCGTGTGCATTTATGTATATCTGTTTTTGTAGTGCGAGCTAGTCAGAAAATGCGCAGATAACATTTACTTTGAAAAACATGGCCCCAGAATCGAAAACAAACAATATAGACCAAATATTTAGGGTGCTCCTAGGATATACGTGTATTTATCGATAAGTGTTAAAGATTTCTTGGAAAACCAACAACAGCTTATGAGTCAACCGCTGTTTGATTTTTTTTAAGAAGCACCTCTTTGTTTACGTTCTTAATTATAGCTATTTTATTTAGATTTCAAGCGATTCAAGAACCGTATGTTAGGTTATGGTATAAAGGCCGATTACCTTATATTTTTTTCGAATTTATCCCCGTAACAACACATACGAGACAATGCTAACTATATGAATATGATCAGCTTTCATGCTGTCATGCAGTCATTTAAAATTTGCGTAAATTATATTTTCGCCATGTCATTTTGTCAACAGAAAGCCCTTGTCAGAAATGCTCAGCTGCTCGGCATAAATAAAGATATAATTGCGCAACCTGCTCGGGGTCCGTCTAACCAACCTTAATTTTGGGTTATAATAGGATAATCAAAAAAAAAAAAAAAACATGTTTAATTTGTGCATCGATGTGTTATCGATATACACGTTGTCTCTTGTTTTGATATCGTTTACTGCAGTCCACCTGCAGTTGTTCACCCCGCGTTTGCTCGTTGACAATCAGATAACGTCTGCTTTGCGCTGGGGCTCTAAAAATAGTAGCTGGTCGTTCTGTATAGTTGTGTTCGTTTCGGCTTTTGTCATAGGTCAGAAATGGACTAGTGCGTAGTTGATCTTAAGATCACAAAGAACAAATTAGCTGGCAGGTTCCGTCTGCAATTGGATGCTGCGCAGCCAACGAATCATTGTCTTCTCGTGAACTTGACGTTGACCGCTGGACTTTTGTTTATTTGTTAAATGCGCGTGGCAATTCAGTCAGTCGCCAGTCACTCTCTCAATTGCTGTTCGTACGCTCTCTCGATCTGACTCGCTGTCTCTCTCGTTTCATTGTTTGGTTCGTTAACCCGTGGAGCAGAAGAACTACGCATCAAGCAAACATACGGGAACTGCTAGAGTATTAACCCAACTGCTCAAGTCAATAAGCGATATGCCGGAAGAGGAGCCAACACAAAAGCCCATGGACGAGCACCAAGAGCAGCCACAGGCCGAACAGATGCCCAGAGAAAGCGATGCTAATGCCGAGGAACAGCTGCCGCCGCTGCAGCTGCCGCCACATACCCCGTCTACAGACTTTGTTGTAACGGAGCTTTCCGCTGAAGAGGCAAGCATCTTTGATAGCTAAAACAAATCTCATCTGCGTCTTGTCTAACGGTTGCCAAAATTTTGTACTTTACAGATACGCGCCCGACGGCTGCGCACTTTGGCGGCGCGCAGCAGCGCCCACATTCCCGCTGCCGCACCGTTGGCAACAGACAAACCAACTGCGCGCATCCAAGCAAATACCCCAAGTGAATCGCGCTTGGTGCGCGAGGTGTGCGCCAGTTCGAGCAGCATGGAAACGGGCTCATTGGGCGACAAAGCGCCCATAACATGGTCAGATTTGGGCAGTAAGTCGGATATGGATGTAGACATGAAATCGGTGGCATCAACGCCCATACAGGACATTGAAATGACGTCCGCACATTCCATCTGCGTGCCCAGCACAGTGCTGCTCAACTCAGAGCCCAAGACGCAGCCAATCGTATCTAATACGGAGTCACCGCGGCTTAAAAGCGCGGACGAGCGCAACGAACAGCTGCTGTCCAGGCTGCTGAATGCTACATGGAATGAATTTGGATGTGGTTCCATTATTTGTGCACAGACCGCCAGCTTTCTGGAGCAATACCCAGAACTGCGCTTTGAGTTTGAGCCCATTGTCACAAGTGTTCTGCTGGAGACGGCATTTAAGTTCTACAACGATGAGGTGGACGACAGCTTTAAAGTGGAGGGCGAGACACCACTTGCCACCGGTCTGAGCGACGCCAACGGTGATGACAAGGAATTCTCGTCGGCCAAAAAGATTAAGAGCGACGACACCGAGGTGCAGGAGATATTAGCTAATGCGGTGGCCTCCAGTGGAGCCGCTGAGGAGGATCAAGGTGCAAGCGCCAGCGCAACGCCCAGCCAGACCGAGATAACACCCAGCGATGCATGTGTTCCCTGTGTGGTGCCACCTCCCCTGAACATTGTGACAACCTCCAAGCACAATGCCATGCTCCATCTGCTGCGCTGCTATCAAAACTATCAAACCGAGTGCGAAAGATCCAGAGCCAATGAATCATCCAATCAGGCAGTTGATCACAGCACACAGCAGGTCTTGGCTCTGGCCTTTAGAAACATCATGCGTGTCGCTGTGCTGGTGCTAACGGATCGCATACAACAGAACCTCAACTATCAGCTGGATCAGTCTACTTTGCTGGAGCTGATTTACATGGATCGTATTAGCGAATCGTTCCTCATCGATCTGGTGGCCGAAACGCATCAACAGCGCGAAGTCTTCGACACCATATTCGGGCAATTGTTGCGCGGTCTGTTCAGTGGCATGCAGAGAAATATTTGCAGCTCGAAGATCAACACACAGCAAATCGAATGGCTGTCCAAGTTGGTGGTCATTAAAGTGGGTAATGTGCGTCCAATTGCCGATCTGGTTGCCCGCCAACCCAACTATATACCGCCCATATGCACCAAGATACCGGGTCGAGAAATTGTCAAGTGTAGTTTTCTAGGTCCCTTTCTGTCGGTCTCACTATTCGCCGAGGAGAATGTCAAGTTTGCCGAGTTCACCACCAAAAACAAGCTCGAAGATGCAGCCACATCGCGACTACGTTGGGTAAGCATCATGCGCTCAATCTCCAAATAATAGCAGCTCCCTGTATTTGTAATATTTATCACATTCACTTAGGAGCTCCACTCGATGCGCACTCACATGCATACGGTTTTCCACTCGCTGTGCGTCAACGCCAGTAGTCGCCCCCAGACGCTGGAGTACATTGCCCAAATTCTGCGACACAACGATCGTCGCGTGCAATTTGCCAGCGATGAAAAGCTGCTCGCTCGTGATGGCTTTGTTATAAATCTGATGAGCGTGCTGCAGCAGCTGTCGGTCAAGATCAAACTGGATCGCATCGATGCCAATTTCCACTACTACAGCAATTCGCTGGTTAACATTGAGCAGGACACGAAGATCCGTTACAGCGAGGAGGAGTACAAGAGCTTTTTGGCTCGTGATTTCTCAGCTCCAGCGCAGAATGTCAATTTCCAAACGCAGTGCTGGTTCCTTACGCTGCAGGCTCATCACCTGGGCTATCTGCCGGCCATTCAGCGCTATCGTCAAAAGGTGCGCGCCATTAAGGAACTGCAGAAGCTAATTGACGAACTGGATCGCACAAAGCCACATTGGGTTAACTCACGCTATGCCAATCGCAACAATCAGTTCAAAGAACGATGGGAGAAGCAACTGCGTAAACTGAATCGGTACGAAACACAGAACAAAACCCCAAACTGTAGAGCTTTAATAACTCCATCCGCAATGTTAGAAAATGTAAAGGAGATTATAGTTTTAAACGAAATGTGTAACACACAGAAGAACCCAATTATAATTTATAGTATATTTCTGTTCATTACTAACAGCACATTTAATATCGCCATGTTTATCTGTCTGTTTCTGTCCAAAGTAGTCTGTGTTCAAACTATAGCCAAGAAACCAGATCGCACCACAATATCATAAGGAACGGTCACAAATTCATGTATAAGTCATTTTCACAATTCTTCAATCAACATGGGACTGCTTTATCATATAGAAGAATCGGAATTTAAATCTAAGGCACTTTTTAGCCATTTATACGAAAGGGTATTTAGATTTCGGCGTGCCGAAAATTGTGTTTAGATTGCGATCGATCAATCGATCAATTTCATATATAAGCAACAATTTTAAATAGGTAAATAATATGTTCAATGAAATATTTATAATTTGTGGCTGTGATTAACTCATTCAGAATTCTTACAAGCGGACAGACGTGTTTGGACTTACCCCATTTCTCTCCCTGCAGTACTTCCTAATGATAAATCCTTATTAAATTGGTTCTCGTTCTATTTTTGTTAACAGCTCCAAGACATGCAGTGAGATAACGCTCCTTGATCCTGCGTTGCTGCAGCGCTGCACTGAGTTTTATTCGACGGTGTGCGAGTTTATGCTTTATCAATTCGAGGGACGTGCAATTGAGGGTCCCTTCATCTCGAAGCTGCAGGTACAGCAGCTCAAACCGACTGATGCATTTTCTGCACTGCCCGAGTGGTATATCGATGACATCGCCGAGTTCATATTGTTTGCCATGCAGCACGCCAATGTGGATATCAGGCAGGGCATCGATCATTCGATCATCACATGGCTGTTGACTTGCGTGTGCGCCTCGCATCTCATTAAGAATCCCTATGTAACTGCCAAACTGGTTGAGGTCATGTTTGTCTTCTCCCTGAAGCCAGCGAATTCGGTTAACACAGCGGTCAGTAATTTGACGAGGTATTAAAAGTTGACACTCAACTAATTTTTTTTGTTTTGTTTTTAACAGATGTGGAATCATGAGCTGGCGCAGAATGCGCTGGTCAGCGCGCTAATGCGATTTTATGTGGATGTGGAGACCACTGGCCAAAGCACTGAGTTTTACGATAAGTTTACTATAAGGTGAGTGAGCTGCAGCAATTGCGTAGAACTTTTCATTTAATTCATTTTATTTTCAGATACCACATTAGCCATCTGTTCAAATCCATGTGGGAGAATCCCATACACCGGCAGGCTGTCATTTGTGAGTCGCGCCAGGGCAATCAGTTCGTGAAGTTTGTCAATATGCTGATGAACGATACGACATTCTTGCTGGACGAATGCCTCGAGAATCTAAAGCGCATACATCTAACGCAACAGCTGATGTCCGATGCCCAGAACTGGAGTGGCATGAGCGCCGAGCAGCAACAGAGTCGGCTCACCCAGCTGGCAACGGATGAGCGGCAATGTCGTTCTTATTTAACGCTAGCGCGTGAGACTGTCGATCTATTTCATTATTTGACTGTGAGTTGTTTAACGTTGTTTGTGATTATTATTGGATTATTATTCAACATTTTTGTTTAACTGCAGAGTGACATCAAGGAGCCGTTTATGCGCGCCGAGCTGGTCGATCGCCTCAGTTCCATGCTGAACTTTAATCTAAAACAATTGGCTGGGCCTAAGTGCAACGATCTGAAAGTGAAGAATCCAGCCAAATATGGTTGGGAGCCGCGCAGTTTGTTGGCCCAAATCTTTGATATATATCTCCACTTGGACTGTGATAGATTCGCGCAGGCATTGGCCGCCGACGAGCGTTCTTTCGATGTGCATATCTGCAATGAGGCAGCGTCTCGCATTAAACGGCTAGCACTACGTTCCGGCGTGGAGGTGGAGCGTTTCAAGGCGCTCACACAGCGGGCTCATGAAATTTATGGTAATATTCCTTGTCCCTTATAAGAATGGTTTGCTGAAGCTGTGGTTTCGTTGCAGTTTCAAATCAACAGACTGAGGATGAGTGTGCCGATGCACCAGATGAGTTCAAGGATCCGCTTATGGATACCCTTATGTCGGATCCAGTTGTGTTGCCCTCGGGCACGGTAATGGATCGTGCAATTATCACGCGTCATCTGCTCAACAGCTGCACAGATCCGTTCAATCGGCAGCATCTCACCGAGGATATGCTGGTGCCCAATATTGAGCTGAAACAGCGTATCGATGCATGGCGCAAGGAGCAGCGGGGCAAGCGAAACAATAGCTAAGGTGCCGCCAGATCCTGAACCATAATCTACAAACTAACGTAGCTTAATGTGCAGTTTTAGTGTCTACCTATATCTCTATACAAATATTATTATAATTATTATATATGTATATGCGCTTAAACAGCTGCTAGAATTTAGTTGATTTTTTTGTTTTTCACTTGGGGTAGTCGCAGTCGCAGTTCTCAAGATTCTCAAGTTCATCACATTACAAAAATATTCTTGTTTTCAGATTTCTCAAAACTTATGTATATGTTAAAAATGCAATAATTTTAATTATTAAAGTACATATTGTATATTGCTTAATTGATTGTTTTTGTATAATTTCACTAAAAAAAAACGCGGTTTCTGTATAAATTCACGTTCACAAATACTTCGGTTATTATAATAAATTTATATTTTGTAATTTCAATTTAACGTGTGGTGGTTTTTGTGCTCTTCCATTGATCCCGATTTTAGGGTGGGTTTTTTTTTCGGAACGAGCTACGACTACTCCAAGTGTTAGGTGCCACAGCTTGGCTCGTGCTTAACAAAATTTGGAATTTAATTGCAACTGGAATTTACAATAGTTTTAATGAAGCGCGTATTGCTAATATAAATTATACATATACATAAATGTGTTTAGGTGTGTGTGTGTGTGTTTTAATTTTAACTGTAACTGCATATTTATTTGTTTTATTCGCTCAGTCTCAGATGGATGCATGGCCTGGAGATTGATGGGGCAGCTGGTGGCAGGTGGGTCATTACCAGAAGGGACACCAGCCAATATAACACTGGCAGAGGTTCTCATTGTTCGTCGCTTGCTGTATGAGCAGCTCCACCTGTTGCTGCTCCGTCATCTCGGTCATTTGGAAATCTGTGCCGGTTAGCTTCCGATTGACACGCTGTATAACCATGCTGGCCTTGCTGTTGGTCACATCCGCCACATTGGTGTAGCCCACATGCAGCTGTTGTGCCTCGTAGGTCTTGGACTTGGCTAAGGGATTGCCCTGCAGCAGTGACTCCTGCTCAATGGAGTTGCTTGGACTGCCGCCGCTGGCACCTGCAGCAGTTGTTGCTGTTGTATCGTTGGCCTTCTTGTCCACATCGAGCAGACGCCAATTGAGCAGCGGATCGTACACGAATGCTTCCAGTACGGCCATTAGCGAGTCCTTGTTGCGACGCAGCACCAGCATAACGCTCTCGCAGGTGCGCCGATAGGTGCCCTCAATGCCGGTGACCTCCATGGCCTTGATGAGCATTCGTGTCAGCCGGAAGGGTATCTTTTCGGGAAACTTTTCACGCGTCATCGCCACCTCGAAGCAATCGCCAAAATCAATATGCAGTATCTTGCCACTCATTCGATCCAACATCAGATTTGAGGGGTGACGATCACCCAGGCCGAGTATATAGCCCACCATGGACATGACCGCCAGTGAGCGTGTGTAATTGTTGCGCCGCTCGAACCACAGCTCCGACGAGGGCGACTTCAGCCACAACAATTTGGCCAGATCATCGCCCTGGGTCTGGCCCAGAGCATATTCGAACACCTCCACCTTTTGCATTAGCGTCAGATGATCATAGTCGGGCGCATAGTTCAGCATTGTGCGATGCTCCTGATTGAGCGGCACCTTCTTCTTTTCGCGATAGTCCCGGATGAGCGTGTGCAGCGTATCACAGTGGGGCACCCAGCCAATCAGTCCGGAGTTGGTGCTTAGCGGTATGACGGCATAGCGCTGGATGGCCAGATTGCGACGGAACGTGTCGGGATCGTCGAGCAGGAGAGTATTGACCAGCGAGAAGAGCTGCATGACGCGCTCATCCTGCCTCAGATCCTCGTGACCCTTCAACAAGTACATATAGTCCTTGCCGTTGGAGCCACGTATGCATAGTTTGCGCGGTCGCTGCTTGGACGTGATCACCTGCAGATTGGTCTTGATGTGATTGATGCGTATTAGCTCCTGGCCGGGATTATAGGAGCCCGGCACGGCCAGTTCCAGATTCTTGCAGGTCATCAACTTGGGCGACACATAAGGCAGCTCCAGCGATGTCAGTTGCGGCAGCTGGCGCGATATCTTTTGGAACACATGATAGTAAATATCCCAGGCACGATCCAAATCCATGAGCACAGCCGACGTCTTATAGCGCTGCGTCCACTCATACGCCTCGGTCAGCTCACGGCCGTAGGCCTGCGAGAAGGAGGTCTCCTTGAGCGTCTGTGGGCCGCGGTCCAGCATGGCGTGCAACGGCTCCAGAATCTCGAACATGCCCTTGACATTACGATCCCCAAAGTAGAGGCGTGAAGCCTCCTCTAGGCCCTCGTGCCATTGCTCATGCCAGAGTATGGCCACGCGTATCAGCTCCTCGCTGCACATGACCGCCTGCTCGACCAGCGTGGGCGAGTGCTTGCGCATCGAGTCGAGTATCTTGAAGGCGGCATTTTTGCGCGCCAGCGATGCGGACTTGGAGGCTACGGTCAATGGATAGACGAGCGCCTGCGGATGATTCTTGCCAATGTCCATGAGCAGCTGATGGATTAGCTGACCCACCAGCTTACGATGCGTATCGATGCGGGCAATTAGCTGTGGTATCACCTGCAGCCAGGTGTTAATCTCAATCATTTTCATGCCCGAGAACAACGCCTCATAGACCTCCGCATGGTGTCCATAGTCGAACCAGAGCGTCAACAGACGCAGCGTATCCTGCAGCGAATTGCCACGGATTAGGCTAATGGAACGGAAGAAGCCCTGTACCGCAGGCACAGCATACTGTTGTATTATCAGATGCTCGCTGTCCAGGCCCAGGCCCAGGCCCATGGATGCCGGCGATTGCTGGCGTTGATTTTCCAGTACCTGCTTTTGGGATTGCACCACCTTGAAGTTCATGTAGGCCCACAGATGCCACGCCTTGTACCAGTTGGGATCATAGTTGGTGGCCTTCTCGAAGCACTCCAGAGCGCCCTGCATAGCATCCGGATTGGGTCTGCTCTCGTGCAATTTGTTCTGCCAAGTGGCCAACCGCAAATAGCAGCGCGCCATCAGACGCTGATCCTGCTGCTTCAGTGCCTCCGACGGCAGGCAGCTCAGCTGCGTGCTGTACGTGTTGACGAAGTCCCGCAGCTGCTTGTACGCCAGCTGCGGCTGTGAGGAGGCGGCCAGATATTTGGTGTAGGCATAGGTGACCTGTGGCTGGTTACACGGCAGCGGCTCATCGGGCGCCAGCGCTGGGTCAGTGCCCAGCAGCATGACCAGCGTCTTGTGCGACAAGTACAGGGAGCCGCTCTTGCGGCACAAACTGGCATACTTTAGCCAGGTGTGTATATACTCATGTGGCTTTACTACCAGCGAGTGCACCTGGATAATGCGACGCCAATCCTCAACTAAACGCTGTCCGCCCTGCAGACGCTTCCACCACATGGCCTTGAGCGGTTCGCGTCGTTCTGGTATCAGCTTGTACTGTATAACCTCCTCCAGTTCGGCCAGCATTTGAACGCAGACCATGGCGCCATAGGCACGCTCGTACGACTCGCCGGCCATGGAGGTCAGCTCGGTGTCCAGCAGATCGCGGGTCTCGTCAATTAGACGCTGGGCCGTCTCAAAGTCATCGTGATGCACGGCGAGCACAGCACGATAGAAGCTGCCGTCCTGTGTGTCCACGGGTATGCAGCGTACATATTCCTGCATGCCATCCCAATCCTTTAGACCCCAGGCGGCAACGGCAGCCAAGGGACTGGCGCGTGATTTGGCCTCCGTGCTAAAATTGGGCCATTCCTCTTTGCATCTGGTGCTCAGCTCGGACCAATCGCCGAGCGCCTCCAGGCAGCGCATATGTCCGAGACGCGCCTCCAGATCATTGGGATCAGCATTCAGATTGAGCTGATAGTGATGCAGTGCCTGATCCCAGTTGTGCAGCTTCTCGTACCAGCGTCCGTGGACGCTACCCTCGCTCGCCGTATTCCGGTAGGTGGTGAGCAGACCTTCGGCGGCTTCGCGCTGCTGCAGCTTGTTGTTAATATGGATGAGCGACTCAAAGACATGCGCCTCCTGGCGCGGCACAAACTCCTCCTCCTTGTAGCGCAATGCCTTGGCATACGCTCGACACGCCATGGCATGTGTGCCAAGCAACTGTGTCTCAATGGGTATGGGATCACGATCGCAGTGCTCCATAAACTCGGCCAGATTGAGTATGGTTTGTGTGATCTCGGGCATGTCCGTGACCTGCAGCGCCTGTATCAATGACTGGGTTAGCTCGTGCCTATGCTCAGGCGAGAGTTCAGTCCAGCATGAGATAAAGGCCGCATTAAACAAATCCCGCAACAGCGTATCATAATCCTGGGCCAGCACACAGCAGGCGCGCAAGGCATGCGATGGCGACTCCTTGAGCAAGCCTATGGACAGACGCTTCAGCCACTCCACCCAGTCATCCTTGGACACGCGCCGCGTCACCTGCCAGGCTGTCCGCAACGCATTCGTTGACACCTTCAGATTCTTGCTGCTGCTGTTGCTGTCCAGCACAAAGGGCTCATTGTATTTGGGCTTTGCCTGGCGCTGCCCGAAGTCGCCGCCAATGCCAAAGCCAATGCCGCAGCCATCCGCCAAGGTGCTGTTAGATTGAATGTGGTCGCGCAGCTTCTCGTATTCGGCATCCACGATGCGATGCTTGTTGATGGTGCGCTGCACCATGGGCACAAACACCAGATACTTTTTGCCCAGCTGCTTGACCAGGGAGCGCAGCGTGGTCATTGCCTGTTCGCGCAGCTCCGGCTCCGTTTCCAGTACACGCACCAATGGATGTATAATGCGCGAGGAGAAGTCCGTAAAATCCAGCTGGCCAGCCAAACTGTTGATCGTCTCCAGCGCCACCAGGGAAACCTGCTGAGGCACATAGGGCGAGTCAAAGAACTTGACAATGGGCGGCACAATCAGTGGCAAATAGTAGCCCAGGGTGCTGCCAAATTTCTGCAGCGCCTGCAGCAGTCGCCGTGTAACCATCCGATCCTTGGAGTTGTCGTGCTGCAGCACACGCAGAATTTGCGGTATGAGCTGCGCCAGATAATCCCGAAACTCGCAGCCCAGGGCAACGGCAATCTGTTCGATCAGATTGATGAGCGTGGAGTGAAGCGGCGTATTGATGGTCCAGAATTCCTTGATCAGCTTGAAGATATCGTCCATATAGCTGATGATGTGCAGCTTGACAAAGGCCACCAGAATGGCCAGCTGCTGGAAGAGGAACTCACGCAGATTATTGTCCGCGGTGCGCACATTGTCCAGCAGATTGGGCAGCACCTGTGCCAGATACGGCACGCACTTGATGCCCAGCGTGTGAAAGATGAAGGTGACAGCCTGCACGACGCTGGTGTGACGTGTGCTCAGTGTTGGATCGCGGAGGATGCGCATGAGCGCCGCAATGGCCACAGCGGGATAATACTCATCCAGCGCGTGGGAGCCCATGTTCACAAGCAGCTCGGCCGTGGAAATGTCCTGGCTCTCGTCCGCCTTGCCATCCGAGTAGGCAATTAGCACATTATCCTTTTGGCTATCAATCAGGCCCTTATTCATTTTATGCTTGTACGGATCCATTGCGCCAAGCAGGCCCAGCACGCGTATCGTTTCGCGGCGTATGGAGCGACGCTGCTCGGTCTTTAGGAAATTAATCAGTATATCGATTAGCACTGGATATTTGTGGTAGGGGCTAACTACACGCCCTGTGGCGCTTATCAGCTGGCCGAGTGTCCAGAGTGCAACGCCACGCTTGTCCGGGCTGCCGGCATCGCCCAGCATCTCGAGCAGTATGGAGAGCAGCTCATCTGCCCACAGCTCCATTTCGTTGGAGCCGCCATTGACCTCGGCCAGATCGCCAATGGTGCGCAGCACATTGAGCACCACGCCAGGATTAGACTCTGGCTCGTGTAGCTTGGGCACGAGCGCTTTTAGTATTGGATTCATATAGGATGAAATAAGACGCGGCGTGCTAATGACTAGATGATCCAGCATACGTGCGCTTTGCTCCTTGTTGCGACTCATGCCCGAGTACTTCAAGTCCGTGAGCAGCTCAATCATGGTGGTGCGCAGCTTTGGCATAACATAGGCAGGATTCATGGAGGACAGCCGCCCGATGGTGACCATTGCAAGTTCGCGTATCTCGAAGATCTCATCATGCAAAGTTATGAAAAGAGCATTTAGCGACTCCGGCTGCGCCAGCTTGGCATCAAAAGTTTCGTCCAGGGAGCGAAGTATGCGAATGCGCACATTGTAATCCATGTCGGTGATGGCCACCGACAGCAGACGCTCAATCACATGCGAGACCGTGTCGCTCAACGTCTTGGAGTTCTCCATGCTGTCCGACGACTGCACGGCCAGCTTGAGCAGACGCGTACAGGTTTGCACCGCTTCCAGGCGTATTTCCTGATGCTCGTGCACAATAAAGTAATCCGCGCAGCTGCAATGAATGTGAATATTAGTGAATGCTTTAAAAGAATGGTGGATTTCAGTGGCACTCACCGCTGCACAAAGTCGAGCATGTTCTGTTCCTCGAAATTAAAGGTGCCCAATGTCCTTAGAGCCAACACAATTGTGGGGCTATCGGCACTCTGGAGCAGCATCGAGGCATCAATGCTGATGGGCGGCATTGTGGCATATGGTATGGTCGCCGGCTTATTCATAAGCACCTGGAAGAGAATGCCAATCAGGCCATCCGTAATAGCTGACTTCAGCTGCGGCACATTCTCGGCCAGTTCGCGCAGACAAACGGTCAGCGCTGGCGAGAGGCCTGTGTGAAACATTTGCTCGAGAATTTCACGCACATCGTCCGCGATTTGAGACTTGACCGCATGCGCCAGCAGCGTGATGCAGGCAAAGACCGCCGCATCGACGGGCGGTTTGCGTTTACTGGCCAAATCCTTGGCGGGCAGCGCCTGCTTAATGCTGCCCATAATATGCTTCAGATGTTTCTCTATATCGCTCTCCACGGCCACGGCTATGTAGCCGATGGTGATGTACGCCACATTGCGATCCTTTTCCTTGCCTCGCAATATTGACATTAAATGGGCCACACAAGTTTTCAGATATTGCGCCACAAACACCTCGCGATTAAAGGCAGCCAGACGGGGCAAGATCTGCAGCAACGCCTGCTGCACATATGGAGACTTTGAGGTACGCTGCTCCAGCACATTGTCGCATATGATTATGAAGTGCTCTTTAAGTATCTCGTGAGCGTAGGCGGACTCCAGTACGTTGTGCTGTAAAAATAAACAAAAATCGTTAACATAATGGAAGCGAATCTAGGAATGGTTAAAATAGGAGCTACCTTTAAAGTTATAATTATAGAAAATTATACTATACTAGTTGGAACCCGGATTACTTTTCTAAAATTTCTTATAGTAATAAGTCGCTAGGAAGTTCCATTTTCCAGTCGAGCACAGAAGCTTCAAAATAATTATTAAGCTAAGTGATAATAAATTAATATCTACATTTGAAATGGGCATAAATAATACCTCTTAAACTGATTTATGACTCGATTAATTGATAGAGTATGTTTGTTGCTTACACTCGTCAGCTTGTTGCCTGTCGCATTGTGCTGCTCGCCCTCCATTTGCATCTGTGTGCTGCCCAGTTTGTCAACGAAAGGCACCTTGAGGCGTGGCACAATGGTGGTCAGTTGATTGCCAACTGATGAGGAGTTGGCCGCTTCCAGAAATTTATTGTGCTGCGACTTGGGAAAAAGCATCTTAAGCGTTGTATATCGGCGCTCCCAATGCGCATTGGCGCAACGAAAGAGCTCATTGAAGACAATGAGGCCGCCGTGTATGCGATCGTCGCGAGTCATGCCCTTTTGCTCCTTGCCCGTGAGCACATCGCTGCTGAAGCTGTTGCTGGCCTCTTCATAGCAAATCTTATACCACTGCGGCTCACTGGATTGTTTTGTGCTCTCACGCTGGGCGGTCACGATGAGTGCGGCGCGCAGGGCCTCGCCGGCAGATTCGCGTATCGCTGGCTTCGGATCAAAGATGGCATTAAAGATGTGCTCGAAAAACGTAAGAATTTGCTGATAGAAATATGTGGGCAAGGCAATTGCCAGCTCACGTAGAATAAAGACGGCCGCGTGACGGCGATACTGTAGAAAACAAATATTTAAATATAATGGTAATGGTAAATAATTTAATCGCTACGCACCTCTTGTCGGTCACCGCTGAGCATTTCAAAGGCCTTTTTGATGTCGAAGTCAAAAGATTCCGCGCCCTTCGAGCCGGGCATATTGGCCAGCTTGACCAGGGAACGTGCCGCAATTTCCATGACGGACACATCATTGATAAGCAGCAGATCGCGCAGCCGATTAAGGTACGGCGAGATGCCTTTGCGCGTGATCAACGCGTCACCGCTTATGAGACACTCTGGCAAACGGAAGCAAGAAAAGGATATCAGCCAAGGGTGAAGCCCAGAGGCACGTACACCTCGGGATTGTTACTCACTCATAGCCAGGGCGCCACCCTTCTTCTCATTGATGTCCGCCGCATTGACCATGTTGAAGATGTGATGATCGAAGTCGTCAAAGAATTGCACCAGCTCCTCTTGCGACATCTCGCGCAGCTCTGTTTTGACATATAGGAACAGGTCCTGTGCCGCCTTGTTTTGCACATTGCGATTGCGTGATTTGAGTCCGTTGACGAACTGCTGCACAATCGAGGATGTCGACATATTTACGTTCAATAGTTTCTTGGGTCAGGGGAAATCCCCAAGCGCCTGCAATTCAAAGCAGGTGCACCCACGTCCAGTCGAGACTTTGAGGTTATAATTTGCTTGCCCGGAGTCTGAGTCTGTCTGGGCACGTCACGCAATGTTCCACAGCTTGCGTTCGGCACTTTCACATGTTTGTTTTATGCGTGGCAGCGCGACAATCTCAATAAATGTACTTTTTAAGATATATCTCGTTCTCAAAATTACTTGGCCCCTGTTTTCGCTAAAAGTTTGTTTTGCAGCCGAGACGGTAGTAGAGATGTGACAGAACAGTTCACTAGCTGCAATTTACACGATAGTTCAAATATCGATAGTTAAGTGCTTGGACGCTGATGCGATAACATTTAGACTATAAGTATTTACAGGTACCAACAACACGTTACAGTTATTATTCATTGGCTTATAAGTTGGTTAGCAACTTAATAAACACAAAAAATAATATTGAATTGAAATATATAAATAAACAAAAATAAATTTGAAAATATATAAAATATATAGTGTACATCAATTATGCTGAATCAAGCTAACTTATCTTCTCAAAATAAAATAAGATAATATATATATAAACATTTTCTATATATAATAAATAGATATGAATAAATAAAAATAAATCAAGCTAGCAAATTTGTATTGCCAGTTTTATAGCACTATATGTATTCACATCACATATCGATATCGAATTTCGATAGTAAGCAATATGTAAAATCGATAAGAATTTTCCTAATGTATTGGAAAATTTGAGGCGCTGCCAATCTAGATTAAAATAGAAACTCAGTCTGCTGAGAATTTTCATAAGAGCTAAAACAAATGTGAGTAAAAGCGATTTTCCAACTAGCAAAACTATTGGACTTGCATTGAAAATATAACTATTAAAAAGTCTAGTGCCTAGAAATATGCTAAGCTCGCTGATATATTGTTTTTGCTGTTCAATTTAAAAACTGTTCATGTAAACTGTGGGTGGCAACCGTGAAATTTATGTGGAAAAATCGATCGTTGGCTGCTGCGGGGGCTTGAAGCTTTCACTGGGGGCTGCTTGGCAGCTGCCCACAGCAGCGCCACCTAGTTTTTTTTCACATCATTTTTGCCACAAACAAGCATGCGAAATGTGTTTTTGTTTATAACGAAAAAGTGTTTAACCTTTGTCTTGTTGTTGTTAAGCAAACAATTTCGACCGTTGCAGTTGAACCGAACTCACCTCAAAGATGTCTAGCCTGAGGAAAATCAAAGACGAGGATCGCGAATCTGAATATGGTCGCGTGTACGCTGTCTCTGGGCCGGGTAAGACGTCACCTTTGTCCTTCACCTGCTGACCTTAACTAACTGTCACCTTGCTCACCTTGTCCCCTAGTCGTCACGGCTGAGTGCATGTCCGGCTCTGCTATGTACGAGCTGGTGCGTGTGGGCTACTATGAGCTGGTGGGCGAGATCATTCGTCTGGAGGGCGACATGGCCACCATTCAGGTGTACGAAGAAACCTCCGGCGTCACAGTCGGAGATCCTGTATTGCGCACGGGCAAACCCCTGTCCGTGGAACTGGGTCCCGGTATTATGGGCAGCATTTTTGACGGCATCCAGCGCCCGCTGAGGGACATTGGCATCATGACCAACTCAATATATATACCCAAGGGTGTTAACACGCCCGCCCTTTCACGCTCCGTCATGTGGGAGTTCAATCCCTTGCACGTGCGCGTTGGCTCTCATATCACAGGCGGAGATCTCTACGGCGTAGTGCATGAGAACACATTGGTCAAGCAGCGCATGCTTGTGGCGCCGCGTGCCAAGGGCACAGTTCGGTATATTGCGCCCGCGGGCAACTACAATCTGGAAGACGTTGTGCTGGAGACGGAGTTCGATGGCGAGATTACAAAACATACAATGCTGCAGGTGTGGCCCGTGCGTCAGCCGCGTCCCTGTACAGAAAAGTTGCCGGCAAATCATCCACTCTTTACGGGACAGCGTGTGCTAGATTCCCTGTTTCCCTGTGTTCAGGGCGGCACAACGGCCATTCCCGGTGCTTTCGGTTGTGGCAAGACTGTCATCTCGCAGGCAAGTGTGCCATTATTTCCAGCTCCAACAACATGGCTCAGTTTAATGCTCTTTGCAGGCTTTGTCCAAGTACTCCAACTCGGATGTCATCATCTACGTAGGCTGCGGCGAGCGTGGCAATGAGATGTCTGAAGTCTTGCGTGATTTCCCGGAACTGACTTGCGAAGTCGACGGCGTCACGGAGTCCATAATGAAACGCACTGCTTTGGTGGCCAACACTTCCAACATGCCCGTGGCTGCTCGAGAGGCTTCCATCTATACTGGCATCACGTTGTCGGAATATTTCCGCGATATGGGCTATAATGTGGCCATGATGGCAGACTCCACATCGCGTTGGGCGGAGGCTTTGCGTGAAATTTCTGGACGCCTGGCTGAGATGCCTGCTGACTCTGGCTATCCGGCGTATTTGGGAGCACGTCTGGCCACTTTCTACGAACGCGCTGGACGCGTCAAGTGCTTGGGCAATCCCGAGCGCGAGGGCTCCGTGTCCATTGTGGGCGCTGTCTCGCCACCAGGTGGCGACTTCTCCGATCCCGTTACCTCGGCCACTCTGGGCATCGTGCAGGTGTTCTGGGGTCTGGACAAGAAGCTGGCGCAACGTAAACATTTCCCTTCCATTAACTGGCTTATCTCCTATTCCAAGTATACGCGCGCTCTGGACGAGTACTACGACAAGAACTTCCCCGAATTTGTGCCACTACGTACCAAGGTTAAGGAGATCTTGCAGGAGGAGGAGGATCTCTCCGAAATCGTGCAACTGGTGGGCAAGGCGTCGCTGGCCGAGACCGATAAGGTTACCCTGGAGGTGGCCAAGCTGCTGAAGGACGATTTTTTGCAGCAGAACTCCTACTCCTCATACGATCGAGTGTGTCCATTCTATAAAACGGTGGGCATGCTGAGAAATATACTAGCTTTCTATGAGACGGCGCGTCATGCTGTTGAGTCCACCGCCCAGTCGGACAATAAGATTACATGGAACACCATCAGGGAATCAATGGGAGGCATTATGTATCAGTTATCTTCAATGAAATTTAAAGTGAGTAATCAATGCGTACACCGCGAAGAAGTGTAAAATATTGTATTTCTCTCGCTTTTGCTCTGCACAGGATCCCTTGAAAGATGGTGAGCAAAAGATTAAGGCGGACTACGATCAGCTGTACGAGGATCTACAGCAGGCTTTCCGAAATTTGGAGGACTAGGCGCCCTAACTTGAACTTGAACATAAACAAGGCAAACCAATACCAAAAAGGAAAAATACCAAAAAAGAAAAAAATTTACTAAACGAAATAAGCAACCAATGTTAGGTTATTATTCGAATTCCCCCATCAAGCTAGTCATATATACATAATGCGTAATAAGATATTTGAAATCAATTTAATTTTTAAGTTAAACAGTTTAGAACGGTTGCGTCAGGTAGGACTAGAGAGCGTTTCACTCGATGAACACGAAAGAAATGAACAATGTACACGACGAAGATGACAAAGATTTAGGAAAGACGAACAATAATTAGCCGATAGCGCAGAATAAAAAAAAAGAACGGATGTTGTCCACTTAGAACCAGCCATATAAATAACACATACATATATATATATAAATTATCTATGTTGATATATGTATACCTACATAATTATAATTCACAGCTATTTATTGTTAGTAAAAAACCAAAAAAAAAAAAAAAAAAAAACAAAACAAATTCGTAAAGTTATCTAACTGTGTTCTCTACGTAACTGTAACTACAAACTATTAACAATTTACTTAATGTTTTTTGCCATTGCGTGTTGCAAGAAGTTTAATACAATACGAAATTATAATACTATATCCATATTATAGACCTTTACAAACGCAATAATTACGTAGCCCCAATTGAGGAATAACTTGTGTGCGTGTTACAAATGGAGCTATGCAAATAAAAATGTATTATGAATGTTACCATTATCCGAAATCTTTTCATTTCCATGTTGAAAAATATTTTAAAATGATTGACAGCAAGTTTTTAGTTCATATTTAAATTTCGCGCCAAATTCGCGCGTGCGCTTTACAGCACTATGACTTAACAGCCATTTTACAGCATCGTTGCTCATTTAACAGACACCTAACATGTTGGCGTTGCCGGTGAATGGGTAATCAGCCGTTCCCAGTGACGTGTTGCACTGTATTTCTAAATTATATACACTTTAAATATTGTTTAAAACGTTTATAACATGTCGCAATTCGGGCCGAACGATTTTTATACCTCCGGGCCTTCAGCAGATGCTAGCTACAATTTCGATGTGCCTGAGTTTGGCCAGGAACTGTAAGTCGTATTTGACACGCGCCCGCACTTCAATTTGTTTAACAATTGCTTGCGCTCGCTTTACCAAAGCAATTTCCAGAGTTTCGACAACACACAACCTTCGGTGCCGCCGAACTATGATGCCGCCTACAGCAATGCACCAAACCCGGGTCTTGGCGGCTTTTACGATCCAACCGCCTACACAGATAGCAGCTTTGCGCAGGACAAATCTTTCAAACAGGGTGGCGCGGCCGGCGGTGCCGCCACCGGCAACGAGTTCGAGGATGAGCCACCGCTGCTGGAGGGTAAGCACAGCTTGCAGATGCACAAGTAATCCAAGGCTCATGATTTTTATGTGTTTCCTTTTAGAACTGGGCATCAATCCAAATCATATATTCCAAAAGGTAGGAACCGCTGTTTTCTATATTCAAATTTAATTCTAACTTTTCTATTGGTTTGAGTGTTTTGTGGCTGCACTTGAATCATTTTGAAAGTGGACCACTTTAAATCTCGGCAAATTGCATATTTTACGCGAGTCCCTCTGGTGAAATGCCTCACAGGCAGCTCTCAAGATTGCTTCCCTTTGTTGTTGTTGTTGTTGTTGCATGCGCAATTACTTCACCTACTGCATTATTCTTCCTTTGCTCTTACGCATTTCGCTTTTGTTTTCAGTTTTCTAATTTGCAGTTGAAATTGTGTTCAGCAGTAGAGAGAGAGAGAGAGAGAGAGAGAGAGTGAGTCAATGAATGGTGAAGGGAGGTGGGGTGGTGGCGGGCTGCTCGTGCAAAAGAGCGGAAAGAGTGTCCACTTTAGGCCGAGCTTTTCTAGCGCTGCCAACTTCGCGCTGGTCTGCGCTCAGTTTTAATTGAAATTTAAATGTTTTTGCATTTCGCTTTTGTATTTATTTATTGCACGCTGCTTTTGCTCGCAGCCGTTATTTTTATTTTTTTTCTGCGTTCAACTCGTTTGCATTGTTGTTGCTGGGTTGCACTTGTTGTTTTGTCGTTAATGAAGACATATTTTTTCATTGCTCTGTTGTTGTGTTGTTTTTTTTTTAAATAAATAAAACTTTTGTGTTTTTAATTAAACTTTTTCTTTCGTTTTGCTCTATGTAACTTTTCTACACTTTTTTGCCTTTTGTGAAAATTTGCGTTTTTTCCATTTTTTTAGTTCGTTTTTGTTGTGGAATTTATTACGTTTGTGTTAATTGAAAAATGAAAATGTTAATGAGTCTTTTGCCATCATAAAAATTAAGCGAAATACTAATTAAATTGTACACAATACACAACTATGCAGCAGCAAGTGGAAACATAAGTGGAAAACACACGCACAATAACAGATTAAGAGAAAAAAAACGATCGTTTTAATATGGGTCTAACTGTTTTTATAATGGCTTAATGCTCAACAAGGATTAACATTTAAATTCCAGTTTCCAGAGTTAAATGGTCACCATAATTGACTTTCTTAAGCTCTCTTTGGCTTAACATTTAAAAGACAGAGAAAAGAATTTGTTGATAACATTTTGTTAAATTTAAGAGAGTTGAAATCTCTTACTACTTATTTCTGTTCTATTAACAAGATAATGCTAGCGATCGAATATTCTACAGCATCCAAATGCAGGTCTCACTCGCACATTAAAATTTTCGTAAGATCTGAAATATTTCGAATAATTTGTGAATAGCCATTTTAAGTGCATGAGAAAACTCTCTATGAGAAAAATTATGTTTGATATATTTTTTAAGGATTTCCTTTATCATTTTAAACACATTTAAAATGGCCTATTAAAATTATTATAATAATGTTTTTGTATGACAAAAAATAATATATCTATATTTTTGTTGCTGCAAACTTTAATTGTAATTGAACCCGGAACGTTCGACCCTAACTACATTTTTTGGTGTATTTCACTTTTATTAAGTAGATAATGCTAGCTTCGCCAAGAATCATAAGCATCCAGAATCTTTTCTGATTTTATGAGGCGGCAAACTCAAATTCTTAGTTTTTACCCCTTATTTTAAAGAATTTTTTTTACGTTTCTCAAAAAGTGAATTAAAAAAAATATAAACAATGCCATTGCCCTATAGAAATTAATATATTTATTATATTGTATGACCAAAAAGAAAACTATATTTTTATTCAAAGCTTTCGATAAGAAAACTCTTCTCGAAACATCTGTAAACCTCTGATATATTACTCTATATCGATTTTAAGATATACTTTTTTTGAAAAAACAAATTTTATTTAAATTTTATACATTATTGTTATCCTTTGTAAAAACAGTTTAAATAATTTTTGTAATATTCCCCTCGTAAATAGACATATTTCAAATTTAAATCAAAAACAATTATTTCAAATATTTGATTTGAAAAGGAAGTGAAGATTACAATATTAATAGAAATCGAAACATTGAATGCAACGATTTCAACTTCAAATCGCATTTAATGATAAAATTATATCGAATTCATTGCCGGGTCATGAAAAGGTGCCTATTGATAAACGTATGCCAAGGCTTAAAGTCAACTGAATTGAGCTCAGGGCACAAGTGTTTTTGCCAGTAAATGGCGATTGTTTTGGTTGGCAGTCGGTTGTTTCATTTATTTCTGGCCTCGTGGTCTAAACTCTCGTGCGTCAAACATGTTGACAGGCTCGTTCGCTGCTCCGCTGGCTGGTCAGCAATATCATTTATCATCAATTTCCATTTTTCAAATTTCACTGCGAGTACACACCAACACACAAACACACACACACACACACACACAAGCGAAACTGCGTTTTATGGCCGTTGTGTGTGTGTGCGAACAAATGAATTGTGTCGTGTCCTGCCGCAGGTTGTGAATGATGATGGCGGTCTGGCTGTCCCCGGTCGGCGTTGAAATCCTTCACTAGTTGTAATTTTAATAACATTTTCCTTGAATTACAATCTACCAACTGCACGCACACTCTTTTGTTTTAGACGCTGGCCGTGCTGAATCCTTTGCGCGGCACAGACCAACAAATACTCCAGGACACGGACATGGCCGGACCATTGGTATTCTGTCTCACACTGGGCGGCATTCTCCTGCTGGTGGGTACAACCCGAAAGGACTCTCATTTCCTTATGCCTATGCATTGATTGGTTTATGCTCCCTATGTTTCCTTTTATTTCTTATATTCTTACAGAGCGGCAAGGTTACCTTCTCATACATCTATGGCATTGGCGTCATGGGCTGCATATTTTTCTACTGTCTGCTGTCATTGATGGTCACACGCTCGCAAGTGACCTTTGGCGCCGTTGCCTCCGTGCTGGGCTATTGTCTGCTGCCCATGGTCGTGCTGTCGGGCATCAACATTTTAATCACCATTCAGTAAGTAATTGTTGACACAACTGGCTGGCTTTTCTACACCCACCCATCCAATCATCAGCCACATCGACAGCTCCTCCTCCTTCTCCTCCTCCGTTTGCTCCCTTCCGATTTGTATTTATGTTTTTAATTGAAAAGTTGCCAATGCATTGTGTGCCGGGCCGTAATTACAAACTTTGGCTAAGTCAGTCCAGCTGCGACTGCAGCACGTTCAACTACTTAGTTTTGTTTGATTATTGGAACTTGAATATCTCTAGTCTGATTGTTTACAAACTGAATCCATGAGTTCATCGTTGAATTGAATATTCGGGATTAGACTCGGGGGTTTTAAGATGCTTGCCACCTGCTAGATACTCGCCATAACTAGAAATACACATGTTTTTCAGACAACTCAAAGAGCGTAAAAACCCAACAATCCAATATGTGTTTTTAATGGTCCCTTTGAAATCCGATACGCAAAGGATTTTATACGGATAGATAGATATGCATATGTTTTTCGAATGTTCCTTTCTTATACTAAACTTAATTGGCTCACTAATATCCCAACATGTAAAATCAAATTGATGTTATTTCGTTTTATGTTTCTATTGCCCAATTTTTATTTTTTTATTAATTTTCCGAAGATAACGTCTTTGAAAATGTCTCCAATTTGATAAAATTATATTGATTACATTATTGTAAAGCAAGCTCTATATATTATGATATATCCATATAGTTATAAAAAATTTTATCGACCTCAGATTACTTTATTGATTGTAAAGTTAAAATTTTGAATTTATTTCGGCATGCCGAAGATTTCTTTACTTCCCTGATTTTATAAATTTTAGGATAAAAACCTTCGCAAACGGGAACAATTAGTAAACAATTTAGTATTCATATTATAGATATAGAACAATCTGCATATCATGAATAGATAAATATTTAACAGTTTATTTTTTATTTTTTTTTATTTTGAAAAAAGCTAAAACGTGGCTAAAAAGTAAATAACAAATTTGTTTGGTTTTGGTCTGTAATATTCTTCAACTTGTGTTAATTATGTGTGTGTGTGCGTGTGTACGAACGTATGTAGAACACAGGTTTTTAATTTTGTTCTGAGGGCGCTGCACAAAAAACTGGCAACTTAATTTGCGCTTTTAGTGCACTTTGGGGCCAAAAAAAAAATAGAAAGAAAGAAAAAAGTATTCAGCCAAGCGCCCAGCTATGCGCCGTTTAATTTTCGCGCCACTTCGCAAGTGGAGAAGGCCACAGAAAAAGGAGAGCAAAGAGATGAAGTGTGTGTGTGTCCTTGTGTGTGGGTGTGTGGGTGTGTGGGTGTGCGTGTGTTTGTGTTTGTGTGTGTGAGAAAGACACAGTAAGCGGGTGATGTGCCGTGTCCGGATATCCAGAGTCGGGCACGTATTTTCCTTTTCAAATATATGTTCAGCACTTGGTGTATGTATAGTCGCTAGTTTGCCTTTTTATACCCTGTACCCATTGAAAATGGCTAAAGGCAGGTATTATGATTGTGTGTTGCAGTATGTAACAGGCAGCGTAAGACATCCTAGATTCCATTCTTAAGCAGCATCAATAGCGTATGCGATCTGGACACCTGGATCTCAGATGATGTAAGATCGGGAGGCATTCAGTTTGGGGCGTAGATTCTCCTATGCAGATAAAATGTATTTTAAATTATCGAAAACATTTCCTGTTTTACCATGAACATCCGTCATGTTGGGGTTTTTGACCTATCTAGAAGTTCAACAGATTCCAACTTAAATGTTTAGGTTTTCGTTTAGTATACTTTAGGAGTTATAGTCTGGGCTTTGGTATATACACATGCTTGAATGTCATATTGAAACTCTAAATTTCCTTAAAATTTCCTAAAGATCGGACTATAAACTCCGAAGAATTCAAATTCCGTACAGTGTGACCCTTTTGAAGAAGAAACTCAATCAAAAAATTCGGAACTATTCTAGCGCTAACCTTGAACTGAATAGGGCGTATCTTCTAGTCGTTCATAGCCGACTACTGCGCTTTTGCTCGCATTTTTTTGCGCCGAGAGCATCACGCAAATGTTGCGTGCACTGTGCCCAAAACCCGTATGCAGCGTCGCGCCCCCCTCCAACCCAACCAGCCCGTCCAGAGCCCAATCGAGCCTTTGGCCAGAACTCTGGCACGTCATAATTTGAACTGGCGCTAGCACGAAAAGCAACTATTGCCCGAACTTGCTCGACACCAGCAGCGCTTTGTCCACCCCAACCCCAACCCCAACCCCGCCCAACACCCAGCAGCCCTTCTGCCCCGCTTACTCCCTTCCCTTTTTTTTTTCTTTGCTGAAGCTGCCCAATTGCCATTTGGTTGGCCGTTTGCTTGCATTTTTTATTTGTTGGTTTTAAACGCCTGCACTTTGTGCGTGTTTGCTGTGTGTGTGTGTGTTGGGTGGATGGGTGTGTGTATGTGCCAGCGTCTGTTGATGTTCATATACTCGGACTCGTAACTGGACACCCCGCGTACTCGTACCAAATAGCCCCAACCACCCCCTCGCCCAGCAAGTTTACAGTAAATATTTTTGCGATTTTTTTAGACAGACTTTTTAATTGAGTTTGTTTGGTGATGCAAAAGTGCACAAAAATTACACAGACAGCAGTTGGCACTGTGTGTAGAGGGGTTGGCTTGGGTTGGGTTGATGGGGCAGGTGCCTTGGTGCGTTGGGGCGGGGGGATGGTAGCTCACAGCATTGGTTGGATTGGTTTTAGTCGCAAGGCCCTGCGTACTAGGTCCGTTTAGGCTAAGCCAAAAATCACTTGCCACAATCAACAATGCTTGGGGAACTGACAACAGAGAAACAACACAGAATAGCAACAAATATCGCTAGTCGGGTATGCTCGACTAACAGATACCCAGTGCTGTATCTACACTATATGCTTAATTTGATAGTTCCAGCTCTTCTTTGTGAACAACAACGAGGAGTGTGACGATAGTTGGGCAAATAGGCAGAGGAAATGTTCCTCTTAACATTAACAGGATCGACTATCAGATACCCTGTGCTCAATACTATATACTACATTTAATGGTAGCAACTCTTGTAAACTCCACAATCAATAACAACGAGATGATATTTGAGGGCTTAGGGGGAGAAAGCACCACAGAAAAGCAACAGCTATCTCTAGCCGGGTGTGCTCGACTAGCAGATACCCTGTGCTGTATCAATGCTATGTACTAAATTTGATGGTTCCAACCCATGTTAGCTTCAACATTGTGCCCAAAAACCGGGGACAGGGTATTGAAAAGGGAAATTTAAACAGTGCCCCGTGTATGGGTTAGGGTTCAGGTTATGAATAGGTTTTTTAGATGAAAGCGAATGGCGACAGTTTTGGGACCAGGTGACCTCAGGCGCTGAGGCGACCGCAACAAAAATAAAAAAAAAAACAAAATAGAAGAGAAAGGCAATCCATTAAATGGAACAGAGCGGCCTTTGCATTGGGTCATACATATTGTGAATTGCTGTGATTGTTGTTACGACCCTTTGAAAGCATTGCAATTATTTATATACTGTGTATATTGTACAGTTTGTTGGTCAGATTATGTTAAAAACCTCTTTCTAGAAAGCTCTCTAAAAGCTAAATCGATTTTAATTTGGTTGAGATGTCAAATAGTTAAGCAATGGAACAGAAGTTACTTAGCTGCAGGAACGTCCTGGAAGGCACTCTGCTTGACGTGTCAGCAACGTCGTCTGCGGGTGATTTCTTTTAAGCGTATGTCGCTTGGCTAGTTGTTACTTAACAAAGTTCATTCTTTTTTTTTATTAAGTTATATTTTTCAAACTCAACATTAACGAGTTTCACAATTCTCACTGCAAATAGAAAATGTCTACAAGGGTATTTCATCTTCGGTGTATCGAAGATACGCTTACTTTATCGTTTCTATGATCATTGTGTTCAGTTTAATACAAGGAATATTCTTGTTATTTAATAATACAGCTGCTAGTATCGGACTTAGTCTCTATGTAGAGTAGTTACGTGTTCTAGGCTATCCTTTAAGTTCCTGCGCGTAGTTCAGATATGCGAGTATTTCATTTTTCAATTCTCTTTTTCTTTCACTTGAGGCTTTGTAGTTGGGCTGTGTTTGTACATCCTTTGCACAGCGCCTGCTGTCTTTGTTTGCCCTGCTCATTCATTCATAAAATACACAGACACATCATGTACGCACACGCACACGCGCTCGCACACACACACACACACACACTCGCATAGTCTTTGAAATTTTTTTATGGCAAACACTCAGCGTATACTCTTTCCCGTTTGCGTCATGCATATGCATTGTTTATTGATTTTACCGCCAATGTTTCTCTTTGCTTTTCTCTCAATTTTTTTCCCCTTCCGCCCGCCAACTCGTCGTCTCTTTCTAAATCTCTTTGCGCTTTGCAGGGGCACACTCGGCCTAATTGTGAGCGGCATCTCCATACTCTGGTGTGCCATATCGGCCTCGAAACTATTCGCCACGGCATTCTCCATGGACCATCAACAGCTGCTGATTGCCTATCCGTGTGCGGTGCTCTATGGAGGATTTGCGTTGATTACCATTTACTAGGCCGCCCCGAGGCATACCCACGTTTGCTATAACCGTGTGTCTACGGCTGTCTGTGTGTGTGTGTGTGTGTCGTGTTTCTGTATCTGTGACTCGGCTGCGTCTGTGTCTGTATCTGTGTGTGTGTGTTGCAATATTGTGGCATGGTTTTAATTGTCCTGCCCACAGCCACACACTCACTTACAAACACACACATGCACACAAAACATACGTACACATGGCTATAGACATGATAATATTTTAAGAAAATAAGCGCCGATTGCAGATTTGTTTTTCATGTGCTTTTCATCTCTCTTCATTCACTTTTTTTTTTTTTATCATGGCCTCGTAATAAATTTGATTGAGAAAAAATGTTAACAAATTGTAATTGGTTTATTTTTTTTTATTACTGGGCTATCGGTGGAGAATCTTTCATACAGATTAAAGTTTTAATTTGCTGGCATCCTTAAAAAGCGTATTCGGACTGAATGAAGTTTTAAAAGTGCTCGACAAAAAATAATGATAATACAACATTTAAGCTGGAGTCAGTAAGTTGTGGGTTCCACTTGATTGGTAAATGTTATATTCGCTCGCGAGGCCTTTGAATAATATATTTTAATTTTTGAATACGTTGAATAAAGTTTATTATAAGGATATAGAATGGTTTTGTTTATTTTTAAAAATTCTTGGTCAGAGTATTTCAGATGTCAAAAGTCTGATCATTTCAGTTGTCTTAAATATTAATATTAAATATTATAATAATACTCGATGCATATTAAAAGAGATATATATATGTATATTTTAGTAATTTAAGTTAAGTATAAAATAAGGTTATTTTAATATTTAACACAATCATATATTTATATATAATATACTGGTATACTAAGTCGGAAAAATTCAGATCGGATGGCTATATAACGTTTTAGTTTGTTCCTTTTTAGAATACTGGCGGGTATAATCCGGCATTGGCCGTGGTACATATAAAATAGAAAAACAAAGAGCCAAATCTCGTGAAAATCGGATGAGGTTGTGTGGGGTTGTGGGGTTGGGAAATTTTTACCTATTATAGGATATTTAAGAGTACCATTTTCACATGAATTTTGAACAAAAAAAATGTTGCCAAATTTGGATGCAGAATTGATATAGAGGCCAAACCATGAACAAAAAGCCAAACCTTTTGAAAATCGGTTGAGTTTTGACCGAGTTAAGGGGGTGGGAAATATTGACCCATGTCTATATAGGATATTTGAGGGTACCATTTTGACATGAATTTTGACCAAAAATAATGTTGCCAGATTTGGATGCAGAATTGATATAGAGGCCAAGCCATGAACAAAAAGCCAAACCTTTTGAAAATCGGTTGAGTTTTGACCGAGTTATGGGGGTGGGAAATATTGACCCATGTCTATATAGGATATTTGAGGGTACCATTTTGACATGAATTTTGACGAAAAATAATGTTGCCAGAGTTGGATGCAGAATTGATATAGAGGCCAAACCATGAACAAAAAGCCAAACCTTTTGAAATTCGGTTGAGTTTTGACCGAGTAATGGGGGTGGGAAATATTGACCTATGTCTATATAGGATACTAGAGGGTACCATTTTGACATGAATTTTAACCAAAAATAATGTTGCCAGATTTGGATGCAGAATTGATATAGAGGCCAAACCATGAACAAAAAGCCAAACCTTTTGAAATTCGGTTGAGTTTTGACCGAGTTATGGCTGTGGGAAATATTGACCCATGTCTAAATAGTATATTTGAGGGTACCATTTTGACATGAATTTTGACGAAAAATAATGTTGCCAGATTTGGATGCAGAATTGATATAGAGGCCAAACCATGAACAAAAAGCCAAACCTTTTGAAATTTGGTTGAGTTTTGACCGAGTAATGGGGGTGGGAAATATTGACCTATGTCTATATAGGATACTAGAGGGTACCATTTTGACATGAATTTTAACCAAAAATAATGTTGCCAGATTTGGATGCAGAATTGATATAGAGGCCAAACCATGAACAAAAAGCCAAACCTTTTGAAAATCGGTTGAGTTTTGACCGAGTTAAGGGGGTGGGAAATATTGACCCATGTCTATATAGGATATTTGAGGGTACCATTTTGACATGAATTTTGACGAAAAATAATGTTGCCAGATTTGGATGCAGAATTGATATAGAGGCCAAACCATGAACAAAAAGCCAAACCTTTTGATATTCGGTTGAGTTTTGACCGAGTTATGGAGGTAAGAAATATTGACCCATGTCTATATAGGATATTAGAGGGTACCATTTTGACATGAATTTTGACGAAAAATAATGTTGCCAGAGTTGGATGCAGAATTGATATAGAGGCCAAACCATGAACAAAAAGCCAAACCTTTTGAAATTCGGTTGAGTTTTGACCGAGTTATGGGGGTGGGAAATATTGACCTATGTCTATATAGGATACTAGAGGGTACCATTTTGACATGAATTTTAACCAAAAATAATGTTGCCAGATTTGGATGCAGAATTGATATAGAGGCCAAACCATGAACAAAAAGCCAAACCTTTTGAAATTCGGTTGAGTTTTGACCGAGTTATGGCTGTGGGAAATATTGACCCATGTCTAAATAGTATATTTGAGGGTACCATTTTGACATGAATTTTGACGAAAAATAATGTTGCCAGATTTGGATGCAGAATTGATATAGAGGCCAAACCATGAACAAAAAGCCAAACCTTTTGAAATTCGGTTGAGTTTTGACCGAGTTATGGCTGTGGGAAATATTGACCCATGTCTAAATAGTATATTTGAGGGTACCATTTTGACATGAATTTTAACCAAAAATAATGTTGCCAGATTTGGATGCAGAATTGATATAGAGGCCAAACCATGAACAAAAAGCCAAACCTTTTGAAATTCGGTTGAGTTTTGACCGAGTTATGGCTGTGGGAAATATTGACCCATGTCTAAATAGTATATTTGAGGGTACCATTTTGACATGAATTTTGACGAAAAATAATGTTCCCAGATTTGGATGCAGAATTGATATAGAGGCCAAACCATGAACAAAAAGCCAAACCTTTTGAAATTCGGTTGAGTTTTGACCGAGTTATGGCTGTGGGAAATATTGACCCATGTCTAAATAGTATATTTGAGGGTACCATTTTGACATGAATTTTGACGAAAAATAATGTTGCCAGATTTGGATGCAGAATTGATATAGAGGCCAAACCATGAACAAAAAGCCAAACCTTTTGAAAATCGGTTGAGTTTTGACCGAGTTATGGGTGTGGGAAATATTGACCCATGTCTATATAGGATATTTGAGGGCATCATTTTGACATGAATAATGACCAAAAATAATGTTGCCAGATTTTGATGCAGAATTGATATAGATGCCAAACCATGAACAAAAAGCCAAACCTTTTGAAATTCGGTTGAGTTTTGACCAAGTTATGGGGGTAAGAAATATTGACCCACGTCTATATAGGATATTTGAGGGTACCATTTTGACATGAATTTTGAACAATATTTCAATATTTCTTACCCCCAATAACTCGGTCAAAACTCAACCGATTTTCAAAAGGTTTGGCTTTTTGTTAATGGTTTGGCCTCTATATCAATACTGCATCCAAATCTGGCAACATTATTTTTGGTGAAAATTCATGTCAAAATGGTACCCTCTAATATCCTATATAGACATAGGTCAATATTTCCCACCCCCATAACTCGGTCAAAACTCAACCGAATTTCAAAAGGTTTGGCTTTTTGTTTATGGTTTGGCCTCTATATCAATTCTGCATCCAAATCTGGCAACATTATTTTCGGTCAAAATTCATGTCAAAATGATGCCCTCAAATATCCTATATAGACATGGGTCAATATTTCTTACCCCCATAACTCGGCCAAAACTCAACCGATTTTCAAAAGGTTTGGCTTTTTGTTAATGGTTTGGCCTCATTATCAATTCTGCATCCAAATCTGGCAACATTATTTTTGGTCAAAATTCATGTCAATATGATGCCCTCAAATATCCTATATAGACATGGGTCAATATTTCCCACCCCCATAACTCGGGCAAAACTCAACCGATTTTCAAAAGGTTTGGCTTTTTGTTCATGGTTTGGCCTCTATATCAATTCTGCATCCAAATCTGGCAACATTATTTTTGGTCAAAATTCATGTCAAAATGGTACCCTCAAATATCCTATATAGACATGGGTCAATATTTCTTACCCCCATAACTCGGTCAAAACTCAACCGATTTTCAAAAGGTTTGGCTTTTTGTTCATGGTTTGGCCTCTATATCAATTCTGCATCCAAATCTGGCAACATTATTTTTGGTCATAATTCATGTCAAAATGATGCCCTCAAATATCCTATATAGACATGGGTCAATATTTCTCACCCCCATAACTCGGTCAAAACTCAACCGATTTTCAAAAGGTTTGGCTTTCTGTTCATGGTTTGGCCTCTATATCAATTCTGCATCCAAATCTGGCAACATTATTTTAGGTCAAAATTCATGTCAAAATGGTACCCTCGAATATCCTATATAGACATGGGTCAATATTTCCCACCCCCATAACTCGGTCAAAACTCAACCGATTTTCAAAAGGTTTGGCTTTTTGTTCATGGTTTGGCCTCTATATCAATTCTGCATCCAAATCTGGCAACATTATTTTTTGGTGAAAATTCATGTCAAAATGGTACCCTCTAATATCCTATATAGACATAGGTCAATATTTCCCACCCCCATAACTCGGTCAAAACTCAACCGATTTTCAAAAGGTTTGGCTTTTTGTTCATGGTTTGGCCTCTATATCAATTCTGCATCCAAATCTGGCAACATTATTTTTGGTCATAATTCATGTCAAAATGGTACCCTCTAATATCCTATATAGACATAGGTCAATATTTCCCACCCCCATAACTCGGTCAAAACTCAACCGAATTTCAAAAGGTTTGGCTTTTTGTTCATGGTTTGGCCTCTATATCAATTCTGCATCCAAATCTGGCAACATTATTTTTTGGTGAAAATTTATGTCAAAATGGTACCCTCTAATATCCTATATAGACATAGGTCAATATTTCCCACCCCCATAACTCGGTCAAAACTCAATCGAATTTCAAAAGGTTTGGCTTTTTGTTCATGGTTTGGCCTCTATATCAATTCTGCATCCAAATCTGGCAACATTATTTTTTGGTGAAAATTCATGTCAAAATGGTACCCTCTAATATCCTATATAGACATAGGTCAATATTTCCCACCCCCATAACTCGGTCAAAACTCAACCGAATTTCAAAAGGTTTGGCTTTTTGTTCATGGTTTGG